TTCAGAAGGGCCATCATTAACAAATCAACACACAACAAGTGCTGGCAACTTTGTGGAGAAAAGGGAACCCTAGTGTGCTGTTGGTGGGAATGCAGACTGGTGCAGCCACTGTGGAAAACAGTGAGGAATTTCCTCGAAAAATAAAAATGGAACTGCCTTTAACCCAGCAATTTCACTGTTGGCATTATACCCTAAGAATCCTGAAACACCAATTCAAAAGAACCCATGCACCCCTATGTTCATAGCAGCTTTATTTATAATAGTCAAGTGCAGGAAGCAGCCTAAGTGCCCATCATTAAATGAGTGGATTGAAAAACTGAAGCATATTTATACAATGGAATACTACACAGCAGAAAGAAAGAAGGAACTCCTACTTTTTGTGATAGCATGGATGGAACTGGAGAGTATTATGCTAAGTGAAATTAGCCAGGCGGTAAAAGACAAATACCATATGATCTCACTTACAAGGCGAACCTAATGAACAAAACAAACAAGCAAAATAGAAACAGAGACATGGAAACAAGGAACAGATTTACAGCAACCAGAGGGGAGGTGGGAGGAGGAATAGAGGGGAAGAAGGGAAGGATCTAATCGACAAGCAGGTATAAATACCCACTGACATGGACAACAGGGTGGGGACTGACTGTGGGAGTCGGGGCTTGGTGGAGCAGGGGAGAGCAATGGGGGAAATTGGGATATTTGTAATAGAACATCAATAAAAAAGAAAATTCAAAAAGTTAACTTGGATAATGTTGGAGTGAGGGCAGTAAGAAGACAATCATTGTAAGACATTGCTATGAGGTATAAATTTACATGATCTCTTGGGCAAGTACTATAATTTGGTAAAGTCAAAAAGTTTTAAAATGCTTCTACTTTCTTACCCAATGATTCTGTTTTTAGGATTCTACTTCAAAGGAACTCTGAGAAATATTGACAATGTTTTATGCATGAAAATGTTCATCCCATGCTATATCATATACAAATAGGAAAGTACTAAATCCATAATGTTAGAAGATAATGGTTAAGTAAATAATAGCCCATGACATGAATATATTGTAGTTTTTAGAACTTAAAATGTATGCATTGTGTAATTATCTGAGTATTTCATATTCATTTTCTCATTGATACCTCACTACAATGGTACTGGATATATTCCCTTGGCTCTTCCAGGTGCACCAACAGCTCTTCTCTAGCCTGTTCTGTCCCCTGATGCTTGACCTATAAGGACTGCATGAACGGCTTCCCTTGCCTTCTAGCTTCTGATTAGGTTAGGTCAATGGGGAAGACCAGCCAGAAATAGGAGGAGGGGAGGAAGGAGAGGGATATTGGATATTTATTTGTCCTGCCTCCCTCTTTGAGGGTTTCCTGTGGACTGACTGCCTCTCTGAACTAAAAGCCATAGCTTGAGTCAGGCAGCCCTGCAACCCTTTCCTAAATCCTCTGTTGCCAGGTTCTGATTACTGCTTTCTTATAGTAATGGTTTCTTCCTGTCACCAGTCTGGTAACAGATGATTCCTTGTGGTTTTTCTCAATTTTTCCCATATCTTTTAATATACTTTCTTTATGATAACTCTCTTTAAATAATCTAGAGTTTGCTGTTTCTTGCTGGAACTGATATAATTTACGAGACTGTATGGTGAGGAGACACGCACAGAGAAGTTAAATAATTTGCCCCAGGTCACACAAGGGAGGAAATAATATTTGTACAATATGTGACAATTATTGCTTCATTTACCTATTTTAAAATAACTTTTATTCTTTTTATTATAAAAGTCATATGAATATACAATACAAACAATAAAATGAATAGAGAAAATACTCATATTTCTACCCATCTATTTCACCCATCATTTATTTAATAAGACTTCAATATTTTTACCTCTAGCCAAATTCCTGTTTTGAATCTCAGGCTTACTCTATACCTTCATGTGGATGTCTCAAAAGCACTTGAAACACAACATATCCAAAAACATGCTTAAGATCTTCCAAATCCTAGTGACAAGTCCTATCAATTTTACATGTAAATTTCTCTAATATGTCCATACCTCTCCAGTTCCACTGTTGTTCCCCACTTTAGTCCAAGACACCATCACCTCTTCTTTGAAGAATTCCAAAATTTGGTATCCCTGTATGTATTTACTCTTGTCCTCTTCAACCCATTATTCACAAGGTAGGCAGACAGACCTTTGCTAAATGCAATCTAATCATAATTGCTCACTGCTTAAAATCTTGCAGTGGCTTACATTGCTTTGGAATATACGCAGAGATTGTGCTATGGCCCAGTGGACATCAGTACCTTTGTCTCTGTCTTCTCCCCTTACTATAGCTCCATTGGCTGACTTTCAGCTACTCCAGTGAACAATGCTTCTACGAATGCCTGTACCTTGCCTTTGCCCACATTGTTCCCTATCTCTGGATTCATTTTTATACCCTTCCTCCCAAAGTTAACCTCCCTAACTCGTTCTTATTACTGTGGACCTTTGCAATACAACATTGATTAGAGTCTGGATTGACAATCAAGCTTGTGGTTGTCCATCTTTTCTACTAGCTCCTCTAGTGTATGATCAATGAAAGTCTCCAACTGCCTTGTGTCACCTGTGTATCCTCTGTACCTTGTCCTGCACCTAGCACATATATGAAATAAAATATTTGAATGAAAACAACAGGAAAGCCCTGGCTGGCGCAGCTCAGTGGATTGAGCGTGGGCTGCAAACCAAAGTGTCGCAGATTCGATTCCCAGTCAGGGCACATGCCTGGGTTGCAGGTCAGGTCCCCAGTGGGGGCCACGTGAGAGGCAACCACACATTGATGTTTCTCTCTCTCTCTCTTTCTCCCTCCCTTCCCTCTCTAAAAATAAATAAGTAAAATCTTTAAAAAAAACAACAGGAAAAAGGGGAAATTTAGATAGTATCATATTTGAAAGAGCTGAATTCTTTATATCTATTATTTCTTCTTGTTCTGCTTCAATGTCTAACAAGATAAAAATGATACCTATTTACCCCTAAGTTTCAAATCCTTTTATAGATAAGAGCTATTGAAACTGGATGAAGACTGAATCTCCATTCCTTCCAGTTTCTTCAACAAAATATTATTTGATAGAGAATGGGATGAGGGGTGAGTGGAAGATAGGGTTATAGGTGGGAACAGATAGTAGTTAATGGCCTAGAGTTTTCATTATTTACTTTGAATTCATGTCATAATTACATCTATTTTTGAGGGTTCAGTGATGGCAAATGCACGTCTAGTTGGAAAAAAGCAGAAAACTTAAGGAATAAAAGTAGCAAGACAAGAAGCTTGCTGTACAGTAAAATATGTACATTAAATATTCCTCTTTTCAGTAGGATGGGGGAACATGTTTTTTTGTTTTGTTTCTGCACTTTAGCCATCGCTTGACCTTCACTTTTAAAGTGCAGATCCCACTTAATCTGTGATAGCTGAGGTGTTAATTTTCTCGCCTACTTGCTTCAATTTTGGTTAAGCACTTCGCTTGAAAAAAGTCATGGAAAACCAATAACTGCCAAGTCTCCTCCAAATGATAGTTACCTCACCTGGTCCCCTCTCTAGCTAGGGCGTGAGGCTACGAAGCCCTCACCCAGCCCCTTGTGACGTCAAAAATGAGCTAAACCAAGAGTAGAGGCAGACCTGCTATTCTGCGTTCTAAAGTCGCTTCCTTAAAGTACCCAATTCCTTAAGCCTACCCTGGCCCAGTCTCCTTGCAGTTAAATAGTAAGAATACACCACTAGGTTAAAACTCCTGCCCGGCCACACCCACAAGCTAACTCAGCCACCCACCCACCGCAGTGGCTTCGTCCGGCCACGTGACCACTTAGAACGCTCCAGCCCAACGCTCCGCCTGGAGCTTTTGGAGTAGGCGGAGCCAGGCCGTAACAACGCGTGGTGTTCCCGAGTCTAGGCTCCGAGAATGTCCGAGAGGCCAGCATCTGTAGGGGAGGGGCAGAGAAGACCGAAACTTAAACCACCTGCAGGCACCAGGACTTTGAGATCACTGGATGGTGGCAGCAGGAGTGAGTCAGAGGCAGAACCAGCGCCCGAAGTCGGGACCGCTTCTGACCAGATCCCGGCCCTGGCATCCATATCCGGGTCCAGTACCCAATCTGAGTGGCGGACCGTTTCTTATTTGTCTTCCAGCAGCCAGTCTAACACTTCTACACCAGATGCAGACGATTCCTGGAGCTCCAGAACGCCTTCCCAACTCAGTCCCAGTACTGGCCTAAGAACTGATACTGACTCTAACATCGGCCTTTGGGGCTTTCCCGCTTATGGCCTGACCAACCAGACCCCCTCGTCAGGCTCCCGCTCCAGCAACTTTGAGGGGGTTGCCCCCGACTCCATCCCGGGCGCCGACAATCTTCGGGTGTCAGTACCTGAACTTCCTACGACCAATAACACTCCCCAAGGATCTGTACAAGGAGCCCTCCAGCCCTTGATGCCTGGCTTATTCAGGGTATCAGTACCACCAATACCTCCTATACGCAGTAACACTCCCGAAATATTAGTACCTGGCTACACCCGTTCCTCATTGTTCAGCTCCTCCTGGGATTCAGTGGAAGTACCTCTGACACCAAATAACACCCCGCGGGTGTCATTATCAGAGTCCATCCAGTCCTCAGTAACCCGCTCCTCCCAAGAATCTATATGTGGATCTTTCCCATTCTCGGGCTCCTCCAAAGCGTCTATCCAGGCCCTTGCCCCATCCTCAGTGCTCAGCACTCCACGTATTTCGGTACAAGAACGGGTCATGCTCTTGGGCTCCTCGCTAGAGTCCCTTCAGGGGTCCCCCTCGGTCTCAGAACGGAACATCCCGCAGAGTTCCATACAAGAAACTGTCACGGTCTATCACTCTTCCCGAGGGTTGGTACAAGACTCCAGCCCACCCTCAGCGTCCTGCCTCCTCCTGCGTTCCGGACAAAAACCTCTTACACCGGCGAACTCCTCCCTAATATTGGCACGAAGATCCACCCAGCGCTCAGGACCAGATACTCGTCAAATGCTGGTGTATGGAACGGATTCACCCCAGGACTCTCCCTGGGTTTCAATACAAACATCTGCTCCGCCCTCAGGGCGGGGCTCCGCCAAGCAATCCTGGGAAGAATCGGCTCCGCCCCGGAGCTCCCGGGGAGAGTCAGTAGAAAAGTCCGCAACGCCCTTGGTCATCCTCCCTTCTACACTCACGCCCCGGGAGACTGTCAACCAGGACATGGCGAGTCGGGAGAAGGCGAGCGTATCGGGCAACGTGTTCGACGTGGTCGTGATAGGTGGTGGCATATCAGGTAAGTGTGAACCACAACGGTAGCCGGAGGGGCCCTGGTGGCCCGAGAGTAGATTTGCTGTAGCGCCTGACGTTTGGGGAAGGGGATTGTCTCTCTCCTGCATTTGAGAGTGCAACAGTGGCCTCTACAGCCCCCGGCCGAGGCAGGTCAGGAATGGGGTTTGTGCCAGTGTTGCTGATGGTGTGAACTGGGAGAGGCAGGAACAATACTTTATTACTACTATAAAATACTAATGTTTAATTAGCTGTTGCTGTGCAGTTATATTTAACACTTCATGTGAATTTTCTCCATCCTCAGCAATCCTGACAGGTGGGTAATATATTCGCCTGCATTTTACAAAACCGAGAAACTGAGGTCTGGAGCATTTCAAGTCAAATCACCTAGCTGGCAAGTGTCTAAATGATTTTCTCCTATTTAAGATTCTCACTTCTAATTCCTGAGGTGGCTGCTTTGCCTCACTGATTTCAAGCCCTTTGCCCTAAAAAGCAAAGGACATCAGTATGTGGATTTATGTAGTATTTATGCACTAATAGTATTATTGCAGTCCTTCGCTTTTTAAAGCACCTTTCCTTAGAAAATTTGGTAAGTGAAGAGGAAGAAGGAAGAATTGGTAAGGAAAAATGTTCAAATATATGGCGACAAATGGAAACTAGATTTTTGGTGGTGAGCACAATATACTGTATACAGATATCAAATAATGTGACATATTATAATATAATATAATAATACACCCTAGGGTTATAATATAATAATAAATCCTAGGGTTAGGGTATTGTATTATTATATTATAATATTATCTACAATATAACATTTATACATAACATTGTAACCTATAATATAATTAACCTGAAACACATAATATTATTAACCTATGTTACCACAACAAAAAAGAACAATACAAATAGAAAAAGAGAGAGGGGTGGGCTTTTAGTTTTAACACACCCCCACCACTTTTTTATAACTTGAAGGAAGATGTAGGGCATTTATTGTCCAAAGGGAATACATTTGTGAAACTGGAGTCAAGATCAGGTTAGGGCATGCCTTGTTGTGTCCTTTAATAAGAGCTCCTTCCCCCACTCCTCAAATTATGTCCTGGTGAGCCTAGGTTGCCCTGGTCCTGGCTTGAGTTTGTAACTGACCAATGGAGTGGTAGATGAGGCTTTTCAGGATCATCCTGGAAACCTCATCATGACTAATATATTAAATTGTCACTTATGTTGTCATAATTAATATAAATGTTTGAAATTTACAAATTGTGTTTTAGTCCTAGCTAGAATCCCACACTAATCTGTCCACAACCCAGGAGAGGGTTAATAATTTCTGAAGTATACCTGCAGGATCTGATTTAGAAAGAGGGAGAAAGGCAAGAAGGGCATAATTAGGGTGACCCCACAGTAGCCATTTTTATATATAATCCTTTTGAGAAGACTCTGAATATGTTTACCAATTAATTTTGTGTGAACATAGTTTTTTATTTGGCCTGTTGAGGATACACAGTCTTAATTACCAGAGAAATGATTAGCATAAGCTGTTGCTTTAACAACTCCAGCCAGTGCCAGCAAAAACATGCATGTATGTTCGAACATCAGAGGAAAGTAGATCCTGGTGGAGAGTAAGAAAAAGAAATATTTCCCTTGCTTTCGTTCATTCATTTATTCATTCACTCACTCAACTGCCTGCAATGAAGTGGACTGGTATTTCCAAAAACCTAGAAGCAATATGATGTTTGATCACTGGAAAATAAATATGATGATATATTGTGTAAATTGATTAGGATTTCTGTCTCCTCTCCCATCTCCATACTATCCATATTTTACAATTCAGGGTTCTTTCTGGGTTATTATTCTTGTGTTTTGCTTGTTCTGTGTTCCCATATTTCTTTAGGAGCATTTTGTTTTTAATTTTTCCTCTGCCTAATTACTTGCTCTTTCTCCCTTTCCATACATGGATTTACCATGCAGCTGATGACCCTTGTGCTTTATGACCTTATAAATGCAGGTCCCTTTTTGTTCTCATTCTAAATAAATAACCAGCTTCATATTGAATCTTGTATTTGTAATTTTGCATTCTTTTTTCTTAAGGAGAACACCCAAATTCTGTGAGCTTCAGGCCCCTCAAAACCTGGATTTATCCATGGTTGTTATTAATTAAAAATTAATTTTTTAATTTCCATTTGGGGGAAGAAAAGGGAATTTCTTGCACAGGGGCTCACACTCCTATTCCAAAAGCCAGCTTCCAGTCCATCAGTGACAATGGAAAAGGCACTGGGCTTCCTGTCATATCGTCTCTATCAGTAAGATTTGTGTGATTTTAACACCAAAATTGACCAGAAACACTGCCTTATGACTGTAGTGCCTTCCCAGATGGTTCATAGATGCAAGTCTGGCTCTGGATAAACCTTGCACACAGAGTGGGTGTTTTATTAGCAAATGAGAAAGGCATTACTTCCCAAGGGTTCTTAAGAACTCAAACACATAATTTTCTGTGTGTTTAGCAGTATCCCATGAGTGACTTACTAGTCCCTCTATTGGTTGTAAATGTTTTGGATGTTTCTTATAACTTTTGGCAGGACTTGTACATTTTACGGTGTTACCAGCACACTTCAAATATATGACCAATATGTATCATCTGCAGTAATACTCCTGTTATACAACAAACTGGCTTCCAGAAGAGTACAAATTCTAAATGACATTCCTCAAAAATCAATTCCTTATCAGCAGAATTATCTTTCATTTTGTATATCTTTGACTGCACTCAGAATAGCAATATCTTAATATAACTCCTTTTTGCCATTAAGATACATAAAACAGAGTATATCCCAAAGCCACAAAATCTCTTTTTCTGTACACTCACCAAATAAATTTTTTAATTTCATTACATTATTTTTAAATATTTATTTTATATTTTAGAGAGGGGAAGGGAGAAAGAGGAAGAGAAACATCAGTGTGTGGTCGGCTCTCTCATGCCCCCTACTGGGGATTTGGCCCTACTGGGGACTAGGGCACAATCCAGGCATGTGCCCTAGACTGGGAATCAAACCATCGACCCTTTGATTCACAGGCTGGTGGTACTCAACCACTGAGCCACACCAGTCAGGGCCCAATCAAATAATGTTATATAGTATGTTAGTAGTTGAGAGGGGGAAACCCCCTGTTCATTTGTAGTAGCATAATGGTATCTTTTACATGCTCTCACCTTTGTCCATCATCCATCTATCATCAAGTCCTTTCTAAAACTCCTTTCATGTTTTCTGTAACACTATTGGATCCTGAGTTTTTTCCCCACACTGATTGCTCCTTTGCTATTCCTTTCATTGTGCCCATATTCTTGTGAAATTCTAGTTTTGAAATGGCCTCAAGTTTTCGCTGTTCATTATTTTTGGGCTTTCACGTACTTTCCTCCTCTCCTTCTCATTCTAGGACTATAGCTTTCCCTTATCTATAGAGTTCTTAAGTCTTCAGTTTGAATCCTTTCCTTCCTCTGAACTCCTGTCACATAGCATATATGTTCTTAGATTTTTCACACTTGAATGTCTTGTTCCTCATATTTTACATGTACCAAAGCCCCCTTGCTCTTTGATCCAGCTTCTCCACTTCCTTGACTCTTTGGCACGACCACCTTCCACCATTTTTGGCACATTGTTTTCTATAGCATCTATACTCAGCCAACAGATCCTGCTAGCTCCTCTCAGGCTCTTCCTTTTCTCAATTCCCAGTGACACCTCTGTCCCTAGGACAGAAACTTGACCCCTTCAGCTCACGAGGCTATGAGCATCTTCCCAGTGGCTACCTTTTACTTTGGACTTTCCTTACATGTCCATCCTGCAATGTTCTCCCAGACATGATTTAAAAAAAAAAAAACAACAAAAACTTTTTTCATCACCTCACTCCTCTGCAAGACCTTAATTGTCTATTACCAGTGCTTTAAGCTCCCCTGCATATCTCCAATTATCTGGCCCCACATTTATGGACAAGTAGCATTTCCCACTATCCCCAAAACCAACTATAAGCTTCAATCACTCTGCTCTCTTGTCCTCCTTGCTACACCAGGTATATTTTGTTCTTCCATTTCTTCCCCGTTTTTGTATTTCTTAACATGGAAGTTCTTCTCTCTGACCATCTGCATTTTATCTATTTTCCAATATCTGATTAAGGGTGCTTTCCTTGATCAGTGTGGCTCTCCCTTGATTTTTCTTTCACCTTATAGAGCTTATAATCTATATCTAACAATTTTAACTTATTTTCTGTCTCTATTTCTTGATTTTATTTTAAGTATAGTGGGTCAATTGCTGGCTTTAGGTGCTAGTTCTTACTCATGAATTGATGCAAAGGTAATAAATGACAGAAACCTAGTGACATAAGATTTCAAAATCTGCCCTTAACTGAATATTTGTGAATTGGCTCTCTTTAGGGAGAGATTAAAAAAACCAATACCAGGGAACAATACATACTTCAGAGTCTTTGGGCAAAAGCGGTTTTTAAATGGCAGTCTATCTAGTCCAATCACTCAAGACTTGAATCCTCTCGATAGCATCTCCTTAGTGATTATCTGTCTGTAGCTTTGAACACATTTGGAAAAGAGAATGCGCTATCGTTCAAAGTCGCTCATTATAAATGCAGGTGGCTCTGGTGCCTGGAATTGGTCAAGCATTTTTGGGAGCCTCTACCATATGCCAAACACTGTCTAGATCACAAGGAAAGAGGTATTATATATAAAGATGAGTGAGTAGTGTCCCACCTTATCCTCTTGTAAGAAGTTATCAAGTGGGAAAATAATTGACATTAATGCAGTGAGAGAAATATTAATGTTACAAATACAAACAAACTGCTGGGACCTGGAAAGGTAAGTAGAATTTTTAACAGGTGGAGATAAGAGGATGAAAAAAACAGGAGAGACTAGAGGAGCACAGATACTGAGTCATGAGACTGATCCATACATGAGCAGTGTTTAATTTAAGCCTATGGCAAGAGCTCCAGGGAAGGAAAATAGTTGCCTACTGT